ATAAGGAATTGTTTGCGGTAATGCAATTCAAGCCGAGACGCGAGTGCATTCCAACTTCCTCCTCCATGCGCGCATAACATCCAGTGTACTTTACTTACGAATTGTCATTTCGTGAAATCGTCATTTCACGATACTATCGATACTTACTATCGTCATTTCACGATAGTAATTTCCGGTCAGCGAACTTTTTTGCGCGGGTCTATAAAATTCTGCCAACAGCGGCTGTAAAGAATAGAACTATTAGTACAGTCGGAATTGCAGTTGGAATCTTAATTCACAGTCGAAGCAAAGAATAATGTGAACTGCACTACAGTATTACGTTGACATAAAATTCGGTTATACACCTGGTGTGTATAACCGAAGGTACATTAAATAATGCCTGTCATCTGGAAAAGCAATGCCATCCCTGTATCAAGCAGTGCCATCCCAAGATAACATACCTGAATTTTTAATAAAAACTTGTGGGTCCTGTATACAAAGTTAAACGTTCATCAGTTGTTGGTTCTGCCAATTAACAGCTTGAATATTAATTATTTATGTTATGAGAAGGAATTAAAATTATCTCATGGAGCAACATGCATTGATTTTTTGAGGTCCTTCAAGCAGCCTCCGTTTTTCATATATGATGAAGTTAAAAATAAAGGCATCTTTTTGTCGAAAAACTATTTATGTCATGTGCACAATAAAATTATCTAATTACCACGTAGTCCGGTAAGCTCAAACATTTGTAAAGTATCGTATCATATAAGACTTGAAAAACGTGCTCATGGTTCGTCATGGATGGTCATGGTTCGCTCGAATACCAGCGCCAGACGACAGTCATCGTGAGGAAGCCTGACCAGCTGCTTCTTTCGGTTATATTAAGCAGATGGGCCCATTCTTCAATGGACTGCCGAAACCGGCTTCTAAATAGCAGCGGGACACAGATGATGGCCGATTAACGCCTGGTTCACCTCAAAGGCGACTCGATAGACTGTGGGGTGACCCAAATGGAGCCTGTATTTCGACTGGATCTGCGTGTTTATATTGCCTAATTTTACGTCACCATAGAAATTATTTAATAGTTTTAACGCACTGCCGACTATTTTGCCGAATCTGTCGTTCTACCTTAACGCTTTGCTTTACTTGATGACAATTTTCATCAAATCAAATATCAGTATCTTGACTCGTGTGTTCTGGTCGGCGGCACAGCTTGCGCTGCCGGGATGCGGGCCTGCGGAGTCGAAGACCATCGCAATAACGGACCTTGTCTACCATTCGCTGAGTTCTGTAACGGCCATTCACACTGTCTGAATGATTTTGACGAGTCCAACAGCATTTGCGGTAAGCTTTTTTCTGTTCACTATTGAACTAGCGATGTTTGATAATTTTCTTATGGGGATTTCATGACCACTTCAGTTCACTAAGTAATGAAATTCATAGGAGTGACTCTTGGAATTATGAAATGCAATTTATCAAGCAAGATACTTCTTTACCTTGGTGATAATTTTGTTCTCAACGTTCGTAATGCAATAACGCATAACAAACTTTTTCTCAGGATGTAAGACTGGCGATTTCCAATGCAAGCTTTCGAAGCTATGCATTGACCAGAAGATGCGTTGTGACGGCAACAACGATTGTCTGGACAATTCCGATGAAGAGGATTGTGGTACGAAATTTTCGAAAAACCTTTTGTGTTTCTCATATATATTTAGGTGCTTAATTAAGTTCAAAATTTATAATTTGGTGATAGGCTCATAATTTTATAATTTGGTGTAAGTCCAAAATTTTATAATAAATTTTATTACTAAATTTCAGTTCATAATGCACGAGATTCGTTATATAGCATATAATCACGGTCTAGAATGGAGCAGTTGTACGAAGTAAGAAAAGTAGGCTTTACACACGGTGGCACAGTTCTCATGAAACTTGACTGCCAAATCTAAGACGACACGAAGATATGCATGAAACATACATTCCAATGAGGAAGCAGGAGCACGTAACGAAAATAGGAATAGGAGAGCGATTTATATGAAATCGATTACGCTAAATTGAGATATAGATAACCTTGACTAAAACTCTGGGCGGCTTGTTTGGATCAGCAGCAAATCCTAATGTTCAAAATTGCATCAAGATGATCCTGGGAAATGTCATGAAATTTAAATCGAAAATGAAAAATATCCGAAAATAATATCAGAAACATTCGTCAAAGTTTGTGTTCGTCACAGTTCATTTTCATGTGCAGGAGTTGTTCTAGCGCGTAACCACGATACTTATCGTGTCGGAATATTTTTAGATTCTAACATTTTATGATATTCAACATAATTCATGTTGTTGAATCATAAAGCAATAGATGGAATGTATGTGGTGAATTATTAAGTTCAAATGTGATTTGCATTTTGGTACGTTAAATTTCATTCAATACGAAAAACTTTAAATTTGCATTGATTGAATTGCAAACTGGGAGCTGAATGGGAGTTCCCAGNATTACAGAAATTATATATCCTGTGCAAAGCCTCCTGAAGACTCGTATATTGATGTGATCTACTTGAGAACTTTGTACTTTTTCTTATATATTTTCTTTTTTCATTAAAATTCCAGGTTCGTTATTTAAATGCAATTATGAAAATGAGGTTCCATGCGACGACCACAAGAAGTGCTATTCAAAATTTCATGAGTGTGACGGCAACCCAGACTGCGATGATGGTTCTGATGAAAAAGATTGCGGAGGTACCTACTTTTCATTGACTGCAGATGCCTAACTATAAATGAATATTTGTGTAATGTTCAAGCTTGATACTGTTTTGTTTTGGCTCTAAAACCTATTTTCCTAGAATTTTTCCTAGAATTTTTAAAATTCATGACAACAAAAATATGAGTGATTTATGTAAGTGTTGATCAACTTTATAAATATTCAGTTTTGTCCCTGTGGCACGTTATAGCAGATGCTCTCAACAATTTTGAAACCTCGAAAGTCATTCAAGAAAATGAAGTTTTAAAATAAAAATACATTAATTGTTATCACCATTGATTCTGGTGTTTTTTTTTTAACTTCATCCATACTCCGCGGTATAGAACAATTTGCGCTTACTTGTCATGAAGTTTTTTCAAATGGACTCCATTCATGAGTATTTTAAATATTGATTTAAAGCCAAGATTATATGATATGATGAATTCATAGAAACCTCAGTATAAAATTCAAAAATACAATAGTTATGCTACTTCTCAATTATGATTTTGATAGCTTGGAATATTTTGACACTAGTGCCGTGTCCAAACGGTTTTGTGTGCGACAACAAGTGCTTCAGTAGACTATTTTTAATTGACTGCTGAAGTGGAGGTAGGAATAAATACTGACGTGTACATTTTTTTGCTTGATGTATTCTGGCTTGCTAATCTATTTTATTAATAAGTAATTGTAGAGGTTTTGGAATTTTACGTGGAAAATAGTTTTCTAACATTATAATTCTATTTTAAACTCTGTGCTTGAAATTCCATACATTAATATACCGTATTATTTCGCGTTACGTTGAAGCTTTGGTTCCTCCCTTAACGAAATTTTCAGAGTGATTAGCTTCTGAATTAAAGACGCTTTTAGCTCGCCCAGCGCGTAAATTAGCGGCTCTATGTCCGCTTTACGCTATGGCTGTACGAGCAGAAAAAATCGTCTGATTAGAATCCTGCCGGTCATAACCGCTAGTTAGCTTGGGGCGATCGTGGGGCGCGCGTATATGACACCTGATAGTTTCGGCACGGACACGGCCGACTTTGGAAAGTGCGTCAAAAAAATGTCTCCTCCCTTCCCCCAAATTGGGAGAAGGGAGGGGATATTTGAATTGCTGCACGCTATATACGAGTATATATATTCAGACTAGACGGAAAAATAGAAAAAAATGTATCACCGCGGCACAATGAAGAAAATGGCCCAGAAACACGAATATGAATTAATCAAATTAGTATCTGAATAATATTAGTTCTTTCAACTTTAAACCTCAAGTTTGCGTATTACCCATAACCAAACATTCTCTAACTTTCACTAGCACTTAACAATGAACACTATCCAGTATTTCCAATATTCAACAACGCTCAATATTCTCCCACATAATCCATGTCCAAATCATTATATCCTATTGACCGGTACCAAACACTCTTATCTATTGCGGGTATCAATCATTTTCAACGTACGGCAGTGCGAAACATTCTCTCGCCATAACCGTTTTTATACCCCAAACATTCGTATATACTGTTAAGCATTCTCCGCAATAACCCTTAATTCAGTCCTCAAAGTTCTTCCAAAATATTTGCAAACAACAGCCTAGTGCATCTTCGGGGCTCAACTTTAACCATTTCCACTTAGCGCAGATTCAATACAGTAGCTAATAATTTCATACCCGTGTTTCTAGTTATGAAATACCTAAAATATAAGGAATTGTTTGCGGTAATGCAATTCAAGCCTGTCTCTTATACACATCTAGATGTGTATAAGAGACAGGCACTAACTTGATTGCAGCTTTCAGTTGTTCACAGTTCATAGCAAGTGAGGATCTTTCTGCATCCATCGTCGGCTGCTGCAATGACAGTTGGTATTGACTTTCACATGTAGTTCTTTACAAGCATCTAAGTTATCAACTGCACTCTAAATTCCTGGAGAAACCATCAAATAAATAGCGGAATAAACGATAGTTATGGAAATCCTCAAATCAAATACGTATGTTGCTCACAGAGAGGCTCCTTGTAAAGTAAATAGTTCATAAGCTATTTTCTGCTTGAGCAATAAGCTCAAGCATGCAGACATATGCCCAAAGCTGAACAGTTCTTTGGTTGAAGAAACCATTCGTCTAGCAAAAAATTTTACCGGGTCTGAAAATACTACTTGCAACTGCTGAAAAATGAAGAATAGAAGCATTTCTAAGTTCTAACGTCTAATACCAATTCAATATTGCTCGATGGAAATTTTCTGAATCTATCTTCGTATAATTTGTAGTTCTTCAGAAATAACCAAATTCATCGTTATACTTGAATGTAACTCCATGATGAAGCCTGATGATACAACGAAATAGAGTAGATAGAACGGAAGAAAAGCAACTAACTTACTTGCGAATAATCGGTATACGCTCTGCAACCTGTTCCATCGTGTTCAGCTGGCCCGTCCACTGCCCAGTAGTGTCGAGTGTTGTCAGTTGGTTAGGTAGGCTAGCATCCTAGGCAATGGTGAGCTTTCGAGTTCCGACTACTCTTAATCCAGTTGACGCGTTGATTTATAGAAATTAAAACCTTAAGCATATGAACAGGAGCAGCTTAAATATCATGCTCGTGTCGACATGCCCAAAGTTGAAAATTTCTACAGCAGCCAAAATCTTGAACACACAAATGCGTGGTCATGATGAATGTCGCCTGCCGACGAGAACTTGAAAAGTACCTATTGCAACGAACTGATCAAATAACAACTGATTTAGAGCATATTCCGCATGAAATCTTCTCTTATTGTCGAAAAAAGAACTTGCATCGTATGATTGCTGCGTTTTGAAAGAAGTGATGGTGAAAGATACACCATACAACTACATCTTATCAATAAAGTATTCGTGGGAAAAACTTAACAAATTTTCCTTCATAATTTAAATTTTCCAGTCAAATACGTCATAATTTGAAGAAATTGTTTAAAGCTCTCTGAAAGCATCGAATTGTTTAAAGCTCTCTGAATGAGACAAAACTATAATAGTACCTTTTCGATAAGCATTGAGCAATGGGCACTCTTCACTAGGTACTGATCGATTCACGGTTCGATCTAAACTGGCGCCTTCCTATTGCTGCAACGGTTAATGCTCTGTCCGGATGGGGGGTGCGGGAGGTAACCCCCCGCATGCACATACCCGCGTTACCCCGTATGGCGGGAACTTCGATTGTTCATGCGTTTACCTTGTTCAAGACTCTGACCAGCCCCATCATGTGGTAGCGTCATCAGCGTTTTACCAGGGGCATCATGACGAAGCTTTACCAGCTGCTCTTTTTAATCATATTACGCAGATTTGGCCTACCGGGCAATTTACTTCCAAAAGAGGCTGGTAAATAGAAGCAAAACACCCTACGTGGCCGACTTGCTCCTGATTCACCCCTAAGCCGAATATAGTTCCTCTAAAACGACCTTAATCGGCACGAAAATTTTGACAGGGAACAAACTTTTTCTCAGGATGTAAGACTGGCGATTTCCAATGCAAGCTTTCGAAGCTATGCATTGACCAGAAGATGCGTTGTGACGGCAACAAAGACTGTCTGGACAATTCCGATGAAGAGAATTGTGGTACGAAATTTTCGAAAAACCTATTGTGTGTCTCAAATATATTTAGGTGCTTAATTAAGTTCAAAATTTATAATTTGGTTATAGGCTCATAATTTTATAATTTGATGTAAGTTCAAAATTTTATAATAAATTTTATTGCTAAATTTCAGTTCAAAATGCACGAGATTCGTTATAAAGCATATAATCACGGTCTAGAATGGAGCAGTTGTACGAAGTAAGAAAAGTAAGCTTTACACACGGTGGCACAGTTCTCATGAAACTTTGCCAAATCTAAGACGACACGAAGATATGCATGAAACATACATTCCAATGAGGAAGCAGAAGCACGTAACGCAAATAGGAACATTTATATTTAAACCACAACAGAAAAAAAAACATAATTTAAGTGTTTTAAATTGCTCGAAGCAGATGCTTAATCTTTTGTACATTGTATTTTTTAGTATCCTCAAAACACGGCTTCTGTTCTATTTATGGTAGTGATGGCTAATTATTGTGCAAAGCTCCGTAAATCTTTGCAATATCGTCAAAGCTTGAAGTCCACTATGTGGCCATTTTCTGCAATTAAATTTTTTGATCAAGATTTGTGTTTTTTAGTAACACACGTATTACTGTTGTGGCATTCGACTTCTTAAAACACTATTTGTACATAGAGCCGGCGGCATATAAATACATCTCATGGCCTAAGCACATGATGACTGAAGTTTTAAATTTTTTTCTCAACAAAGGCTGTGATGCTCACCACCAGTGCGGTGATGGTTCTTGCGTGAGCCGCCACCAAGTCTGTGATGGCGAAATGAACTGCGTTGATGGAAGCGACGAACAGAACTGCCGTGCGTACTCAAGTTATGCTATTGATGCATGTGTACTCTAGTGAACTGTCACATTGTTGGATCAATCATGCATTCATTCATCTCATGATCTTGTACAGTCATTCAATGATTCATCCATCCTATTACCTTGTAAAATAATTCATTCAGCTTGTATTCTTGAACAATCATTCATTAATCTTATAATCTTGTACAATCATTCATTCATCTTGTATAATCAAACTCAACTGGTTTGACTAATTTCATCAATACTTTTCAATCAGTCTCAGTAATTACGTCTATATAATTGCATGTATCTTATCTAAGTTCGATATAATATGGGACCTGTCAGTAGAGCTATATGTAAGCAATGGTTTAGTGCGATTGAAAAATAATAAGATAAGAAAATTTGAAATTGATTTGAATTATGGTTGATCAAGATTATGTCAGAATATATATTTCTGTTACGCGAAGTTGAAGCATAGCAAGAGCTTGATTCAATAGAGTGACTGATCTTTCGACACTATTAATAAATTGAAATAGTTATTTGAGCCGAAGCTTTTTCATCTGTTCATTGCGGAGTAGCATCTTGTGTTCTAAGCGCCTAAAGTCTGCCACTCCCTGCAGCGTGTCCTGCTGGGAAGCGGGCGTGCGGCGTCGAAGATGGCGCGCCCTGCGTGCGTGCCTCGCAGTTCTGCGACGGGGGGCGCCACTGCCGCAACGGATACGACGAGTCACCCGAAGCCTGCGGTGAGACATTACCGACTGTGTGGATATGGAACGACTGTACTAACGATAACCGATAACCAACATGCTTGAAATTATTCCGTTCTTTTCCTCGAGAAAGCTTTCCTCGTTTCCAACTGAGCTACTTAGTTTCATTTCCCACTCATTTGTCTCTAATTACTAGTAATAGATGAATTTTTAATAAATAAATTTATTGATGAAGAAATGAATCTTGAAACTGTTATAATAAGACGAAGTAAGAAATGTTAACTCATATGCGCTGAAAAGAATAATTCATTTTTTTAACATTTAGTTATTGATTATTACTTATGTCAGGGTGCAGAATCGGGTACTTCCAATGTTTGTTATCGAAGATGTGCATCCGAGAAGAATTGCGGTGCGACGGACGGCAGCACTGCGATGACGACTCCGACGAGACTTATTGCGGTAATTTCAGCTCACTTTACAAAGAATAAATGCCCACAGGGACAATATCTTCCTATAAGTTGACTAATAACTCAAACTCATCGAGCTATTTTCGTCTCATTACAATCAACCTGAAAATAATGGTTACAATTAAATAATGCACACAGTATGAAAGTAAACTTTTATTGACATGGAATATAATTCTCTCCAAACAAGTTATCTTACTTCTAAACGTGTATACTAGTCACACAATATGGGGCTTTTTTAAAAGCGCTTGAGTTGATCCCCTTCTTGACTTACTTACGCCTCCAAATAAATGATCATCATTCAACATTTTTTCCTGTGTTTGAATGAACTCAGCTGACGGTGAGAAAGACTTTAGTTTAACCTACCCCATAATGACTAGATTTTATGGAATTTATTTCCTGAACGGAGCCCCTAACTTCACATGACGACCATGTTAAACAAAATTTATCCTTCATTTCGATGAAGTTGCGAACTTCAGCTCGATAATTTACCACTATATATGTGAATTTTTTTAGAATTATCTGACTACATGTAAATGAAGAGTCTTCGCATCTTTACAACCTTAGAAAGTTAGAGTATAACGGGAATCAACAAAATTTTCTGCCTTGCAGTTGAAAAACCTGTTCAATTATTAAAGAAATTTCCACGGGAATCCATACCAGCTGCATGATTACCATTTTGAGAGCCATGAAGAAACGTGAATTATTTAGAGTCCTCATTGATTTTTTCATCGTCATGAGGCCTACGGCTAAATTGCGCTGCTAAAAGATGGATGCGAAATCCATAAGTTTCTCAACATCAAGCAGATTTAATGTTACTACACAACGCTTTGTTGATGTGAGATTGTTCGTTTTTAATTCCATTCCATGTAATATGTCACTAGCCCTGATGCAAAGCATTTTCTCATTGCCCAATCCGACCTCAACGATTGAACAATGGGCACTTCTACTGCTCACCGTACCACAACTCAGCCATTGACCAACAATATATAGAAATATGGTGTTTTGTCATTCATTAGCGTAACAATGTCGTTGTGCTCTAATAATCTAAAGTAGCATGCAAGAGAGGCATCAAGAAATCCCCAGTCGTTTCGATATTTTTCATTGCAAGCTCCTGACCTACCTACTGTATATTAGCTATTAATTTCTTAATGAACATTAAAAAAGCACTACGTTAGTGGAACGCATGTGGTTTTTATTGTTTATTTATAAATGTTTTGAACAATCCACTGTTCCTAACTCCTGTCCGGTAATGTTAACAATCCTGTCCGGCTATTGACCGAAACACGTTTATATTTTGATAGTTAAGATTTTCAGTCGAACCAAACAAGTTCCCGTATCTGAAACGATAACAAATAAATGTCATGGTAGGCGTTGTATCTGTAGTTTTCATGTCAGAGAATCGCTTTGCTAGTTTAATTTTTGAAATAATTAATGAAAAATCTGTACAACAGGCTGCAGTGATGAAGATTTTCAGTGTGCGAAATCTAAGGTCTGTATAAAGAAGGAATTGCGCTGTGATGGCCACGAGGATTGCTCCGACCGTTCTGATGAAGATGAATGCGGTAAGTGTAAAATGTAGGGCACTGTTACCATCAAGCTTCATTGCGGAAGTTGAAAGAATTTTGTTAGAACAGAACTATGCATTCGAAATCGTACTAGATTAGAGCTTCAAATTAAATGCATCTGGCCGAAACTGAGTGAAAATTTTCAAGTTTAATAAAATGTGTGTAAAATTATTACCTGGTTTCTATTTAATGATTATAATTCTAGTATTATATCAAATTTTTGAAAAACGAGAAAATATTTTTATGCTACTTGAATATTCTTTGAAATTTTTCTATCCAACGTTTCAAATAAATTTGTGTTGCAAGATCCTGCATCTTCCCAAACCAAGATCCTCTCTACTCAATTCAAAATAAAGTATGAGCAACGCAAGAAAATTGAGGAGATTCATGATCCCAAGATCTCCGCTCCCCACGCCCTTCTGCCCCAACTTCGTGAGTCTCGTGGTTGGAAGACCATCGAATAAATTAAAATTGTTCTATAGAATCTTCCCATACTCATATTTTAGATAAGCTATGACTTGATTTGTAATTTGTTATCGTGTTTTAAATGAGTTTCACTTATTCGCCCTTGCTCGATCGGATGCTCTTTTCTCAGAAGCCAAACACTGGTTATCCATTATCCTTCATATATCCAAAATATTTGAATATTTAAGTATTTATAATCATTCAAATTTTTATCGATAATTCCACCGATGCCGACATATGCATGAACTCATATGCGTGTATCGTTCTTAAGTATCCATTGAAATGTTCTTAAGTGCACCATTCACATTGGATACAATTCAGTATATCGGGAAACTATAGCCTATATTCTCGCGTACTCATACCTTCCGTAAATATTTATTTACTAGGCAACATAATAAAATAATTTAATAATATTACTAGACAATATATTAGGATATTTAGGCAACGTACCTGTGAATATGTACTCACTTGACGCACTCTTACAGACTGCACGAGTCATGTGTGTCCAGACGGCTTGTGCGTCGCGGAAGAGAACGTATGCGATGACGTCCCGCACTGCAGCGACGGCAGTGACGAATTAAACTGTTGATTACGACGATGCAACTGCTAATAATGATGACTCAGCTGTTGATTACGATGACCCAACTGTTGATTACGACGACCCAACTGTTGATTACGACGACCCAACTGTTGATTACGACGACCCAACTGTCGATTACGACGAGCCAACTGTTGATTACGACGACCCAACTGTTGAATGTTGATTACGACGACCCAATTGTTGATTACGACGACCCAGCTGTTGATTACGACGAGCCAACTGTTGATTACGACGACCCAGCTGTTGATTACGACGACCCAATTGTTGATTACGACGACCCAGCTGTTGATTACGACGACCCAACTGTTGATTACGACGACCCAACTGTTGGTTACGACGACCCAGCTGTTGATTACGACGACCCAATTGTTGATTACGACGACCCAACTGTTGATTATGACGACCCAACTGTTGATTACGACGACCCAGCTGTTGATTACGACGACCCAGCTGTTGATTACGACGACCCAGCTGTTGATTATGACGACCCAACTGTTGATTACGACGACCCAGCTGTTGATTATGACGACCCAGCTGTTGATTACGGCTAGCCAATTGTTGATTACGGCTAGCCAACTGTTGATTATGACGACGCAATTGTTGATTACGACGACTCAACTGTTGACTACGACGACTCAGCTGTTGATTACGATGACCCAGCTGTTGATTACGACGACTCAACTGTTGATTGCGCCGAGCCCACTGTTGATTACGACGACCCAACTGTTGATTACGACGATTAACCGACCTCGTGCAATAGAGAGACACGCTCCGCTCAACAAACCCTTCTTACCCAAACATTGCCAACATGACGACGACCCAAATCAACGGCCTCACCAACAACCTCAAAACTACCGCTGGAAAGAATACCTCGACACCTTCAACCACCACACTACTGAACTGGAAATGGAATTTTAATGACTGAGTCCTGAATGAGCCGTGAACAAACGGTAGCGGCAAATAGGCGCGTGAGACCGTCCCATTTCATTCAATGTCAGTGGGTGTAAAAGATGGCGATTTTAAACTATGGCTACATGCAAAGAATATCTGAATTTCAATAGCATACAACTAATTACAAAATATATTCAATGCTACAACCTAATTATTTAACCCATGATATCATCTATCAACGATTAAAGGCGATAAGGTTTCGATAACAATAAGGCGATAAGGTTTCGATGTTTTTCAATCGTGCCTTTCTAAGGAACAGTTACCAACTATTTAAATTTGATTCTGAAGTGAAATTCGTAGCGGATAGACAGCTCAATACCATATTTATACTGCAGTAATGATTATAGTATTAATACTGTACTACAAATTGATTAGATGAATTCCTACCTCTACGGACTGACAGGAATTCACAAAAGGAAATTTTATTTGCCATTAATATGTCTATATACGTTGTATAAAAATTAAGTAAAGCGTACTAAACTTCTACTTGATGTTGTTAATTATGACATTTCATGTTTAGTCATTGTATCTATATTGTTTTACGTGAGGTGAATCTCGACAGAAATACGATGTTATCGTAATCTTATCAGTGATTTTTACCATTATTACATTTCACAAAATATAGCTGATAACCTCACCGGAATTGAGGCTTACTGTTGATAAGTGAAGCTCACACGGGATTGATCTTCTTCAGGCTGCGGTCTGTGCAAGCCGAGCTGTGCGCTATTGTTGGCTCCCTTCTCAGTGAATGTTTGCTTGTCTAAATAATCGTTTGAGAAAATTATTCTGGATATAATTGAAAACAAATGGACTAAGAGAGTGGCTGGCGTCTAATAGTTTATGATAATTTGATTACTACGAAATTCCGTTGCACCGCGAACAAAAATTAATCAGGATTGTGAACCTGTTAATTCACCAAACAAGATTCGAATGATTCATTTTGACAATTGACTTTATCAGCTCACATCCATGCATTTTTCGCGAAGATGCCAACTCATCTTGAAATGAATTAAGGCTATTTAACCTGAGTCACTCAAAAACGGATTCATAAATTCATGAGCTTCATAAAGCGTTGAGATCTTACCTTCGTTGCAAACTCGTAAATGATAAACTCCGTTTTCGTGCTCATTTATCTTGAATTTCTAACTCATATAGGCACTGCACACCTAACTTGAAAGTTTTATTTCGCATACATTTACCATTTTGTCTGCAGAGCACGATGGCTCCCGTCAGCGAGTGCGGACCAAAACTGTTGCTGATTATTTTGTTGTCTTCGATCCTGGCGCTGCGAGGAACGCTTGCCCAGGTACGATCACAAGCAATAGCTCGCAAAGCATATTATTCGCTCGAAATTCGCTGCACTAATATAAGATATCGAAGATTATCAACAAGATGCATAGTTAGCCCACCGGATTCAAGTTGTTAAGTGGTTAAAACGTGTCCTATGTCAATAAAGGTTTTAAATTGACACAACAAGCGCACCATCATTGGCAACAATACTCATATTTGTTGTCCCATGCATGATTTATTTCATCATGATATCCTGGGCTATTTTGCCTGATATACATCTGGGTTATACTGCGTATTACTCGTGTCCTAATTTTATTTTGATTAGAAAATGTGACTGATTCTAACACTGGATTAGTATCCGGCAAATAAGAGAAATTTCGTCATTACTTTCGGTAAACGATCTATATTTTGCTGTATTTTTATTAAAGCGTTAAGCAGAACTCAATTTTAGCATCGATTTTTCTTATTCATCAGGTTGCGACACTACAGCAACTTTCCTCCATCGGGCCCAAGAACGTGTCGACATCGAATGGTGAGGTGAAATTCAATGCTAAATGATAAGGAATGTTTTGAGAGTGATTTTCTATGAAATAGATTACGCTAAATTGAGATATAGATAACCTTGACTAAAACTCTGTGCGGCTTGCTGGGATCAGCAGCAAATCCTAATCCTGATGTTCAAAATTGCATCAAGATGATCCTAGGAAATGTCATGAAATTTAAATCGAAAATGAAAAATATCCGAAAATAATATCAGAAACATTCGTCAAAGTTTGTGTTCGTCACAGTTCATTTACATGTGAAGCAGTTGTTCTAGCGCGTAACCACGATACTTATCGTGTTGGAATATTTTTAGGTTCTAACATTTTATGATATTCAACATAATTCATGTCGTTGAATCATAAAGCAATAGATGGAATGTATGTGGTGAATTATTAAGTTCAAATGTGATTTGCATTTTGGTACGTTAAATTTCATTCAATACGAAAAACTTTAAATTTGCATTGATTGAATTGCAAACTGGGAGCTGAATGGGAGTTCCCAGCTAATTGTTGGCTCTTACATGACATTTTCTGTATAATGTTCGTTTGTATCGAAATTCTCAACTGGATTTAGTATTCGGAGTAATGAAATTCAGAATCACACCTTTATGAATCAGGATGACAAGACGCAGGATAACGGTACTTTCAAATTACAGAAATTATATATCCTGTGCAAAGCCTCCTGAAGACTCGTATATTGATGTGATCTACTTGAGAACTTTGTACTTTTTCTTATATATTTTCCTTTTCATTAAAATTCCAGGTTCGTTAGTTAAATGCAATGATGGTGAAAATGAGGTTCCATGCGACGACCACAAGAAGTGCATTTTAAAAGATCAACTGTGCGACGGCGAACTAGACTGCGATGATGATTCTGATGAAAAAAATTGCTCAGGTACCTACTTTCCATTGACTACAGATGCCAATTTACAAATGAATATTTGTGTAATGTTCTAGCTTTATTCTGTTTTGTTTCGGCTTTAAAACCAGATATTTTCCTAGATTTTTTAAAATTCGTGACAACAAAAATATAAGTGATTTATGAAAGTTTTGATCAATTTTATAAATATTCATTTATGTCCCTGTGGCAAGTTGGAGGATGCTCTCAATAGTTTTGGAACCACGAAAGGCATTCATGAAAATAAAATTCTCAAATAAAAATACTTGAATTGTTATCACAATTGATTCCGGTGATTTATTTTAACTTCATCCATACTCCGTGGTATAGAACAATTTGCTCTTACTTTTTACTTAAATACAATAGCAATGCTACTTCTCAATTATGATTGTGTTAGCTTGGAATGTTTTGAAACAGTGGTGTGTCCACACGGCTTTCTGTGCGACAACAAGTGCTTCAATAAAGCAGATCAATGTAACGGAATACCGGACTGCCTCGACATGTCGGATGAAGCTAACTGCACGGAATGTTTCGGAAACTCAACAATTTGTGATGGTTCCTGCCTCATTATGAACGACTCTCTTCACTGCAGCGGAATTCCGGATTGTTCAAACATCTCCGACGAATTAAATTGTAAAGAATGCTTGGGTGAATCTTTTCTTTGTAATGGCACTTGTAAACCGAACAATGACTTGCGCCGTTGCAACGGTGTATTAGATTGTACGAACAAACTAGACGAATTAAATTGTAAAGAATGCTTCGCTGATTCCTTTCTTTGTGATGGCGCTTGTAAACCGAACAATGACTCACGCCGTTGTGACGGGGTTCCGCAGTGCAGTGAAAACCAAGACGAGCAAAGTTGCAGCAACTGCACAGGAAAATCTTTCTTGTGTAACGATACGTGCCTATTACAGACTGATTTCCGCCGGTGTAACGGACAATCGGAATGCAATAGCAGCTTAGACGAAGAAAATTGCGCAAATTGCAAAAATGATTCTTTTTTCTGCCTCGGCAAATGCATTTTAAATATGGACGAGCGTCGATGCAATGGGGTAAAGGATTGCATTGGGAATTTTGATGAAATATACTGCACGACTTGCAAGGGACAGTCCTTCTTCTGTAATGGTTTATGCGTGCTTGAGAGCGCTTCCAGCTTCTGCAACGGCGTCGACGACTGTGCGGACGCAGCAGACGAAGCAAACTGCCCATCGTGCCTTAACTCGCACTTTACCTGTGATGGAGTGAACGTTCACTGCAGTGACCCACGACGCTGTAATGGAACATCAGAATGCACAGATCGAACGGATGAAAAAAACTGTTCAGTTTGTCACGATGGAAGTCTTCTCTGCAACGGCTCATGCCATCTGAACCGCCAAGCGTGCAACTGGCACCTCAACTGCAGTGATGGATCGCACGGGCAGAATTGTTCATGTAGGTATAATTTTGTTGCGTCTAAGAGACATGAAAAAATGCATGATAAGATGCTTTGTAAAACGATATGGTTAAAACCTTATTTATTCATTCCCTAATTTCAGCACTTATTACGTGCGGAAAAGACGAGTTCTTCTGCGATGATCTCTGCCACCCGAACTCTGTGCGTTGCAATGCCACTGCCGAGTGCAGAGATGGCAGCGATGAAGCCAATTGCACCTCCTGCGCCGACGACTTTTTCGTGTGCGACGAACGTTGCGTCGCTACCACGGATTCTCGACGCTGCGACGGCGTCGTCCAGTGCACGAACGGCACCGACGAAATGTCGTGTACCGCCTGCACTGGAAATTCGTTTCGCTGCAACGACAGCTGCCTTCCCATCACAGACGCACGCTACTGCGATGGCTTCGTGCAGTGCAACGGCTCCACTGACGAAAACAGCTGTCAAGGTACGCTAAATAAGTTCTCAACTCTATATCCTCCCATATAGAAGTGAAAACTTACTTATTACTACCACGATTGTACGCGAGCGTATTGTTCTGAGCAACTCGGTAGAAATTATTTTAAAGTTTGTTCATGCTAGCGAAATACTGTTTTTGCTTCTTATTATTGGTATTTTCATGAAAAGATTTCTTTAATACTTTATAATTTATTCGAATAAATAAATAAATTGCTTCAATGGAATCTTCGTTTAATCTATCCGAATTTTGCATCACTTTTCTCCATCCTAGGCCTAGGGCATTGTGGTGTTCATCACCGGTGCTCGGACGGAAAATGCGTGAGCATGTATGACGTTTGTGATGGCACTGACGATTGCCTGGACAGCAGTGACGAAAAAAATTGTTGTGAGTTATTTTCTAGTTAAATTAATATAAAGCATTTTTTGGAGTTTTGTATGGAACAGTAGCAGCTTGCCGGCACGTTTACAACCCAAACCTAGCAAAACCTTCGTCGTGACTCATGCAATATTTCCTCTACATTTGGTTCGTTCTCAGTAATAACTGCAGTTCTGTTAAGAAGTTCCACGAATTCGCAATATGTAACATCGTACTGCTTTCGAGGATATGATAACTTTTGCTGTAGTAAACTTGTCTGGTGTTGCATTGGCAGATGCAGCTTCGTGTTATGTAATTGTACGTTCTCTATTTCTTGTGCCATCATAACTGCAGCGTGTCCGAAGAATCACCGGCTTTGTGGAATCGAAGGCTATTATATCAGACAGAAATGCATTCCCAGTGATCAGTTCTGTGACAACAACGCTCATTGTTTAAATGGCTACGACGAGTCTCGAAGAGCATGCGGTGAGTGTTTGCTCTGTTTATTTCTTCGGTAGACTATTTTTAATTGATTGCTGAAGGAGAGTTGTGATTAAATACTGACGTTTACATTTTTTGCGTCTGATGTATTCTGGCTTGTTAATTTCTTTTATTCAAAAGTAATTGTAGAGGCCTTGGGCTTAGACTTTATTTTATTGTTCAATTATTAGGCTTTTGCCAAATGCATACGTTGCTAATTTAAGAAGAATAAGAAAATAAAATTTTACGAATATTTTCTATAGTATTGGAATCGAGGTTAGACATTTGCGGAAAGGAAAGTGTCGTATGAACGTATACTTAAAGGCTGCGTCACGTGTCTTGATAAACGCATCTCACTGAGCGGAAGATTGATCATTTCCAGCACTTGAAGTGAACATGTTCTAGGTTCCAAATGTTGGATGAAAGTTCACTATGTGATATGCGTGCAATATAGTATTTTAATATGACTGTAAGTTTCAGCTGATCACAGAACCTGTGAGCTATCACTATAGCCATAACACCATCGTATAGATACTTACCAGAAAACTCGGCTCGTACTTCGGGTGATCGTGCGTCCCGTTAGTTAATTCTGGACCACCATTCAAGTTTTCTTATGGAAAGCTGAACACTTTCTATCATATTCGTTCGTTTTTTAAGTTCAATTGGCAAAACCACTAGAAATACAAGAAAGTTAATGAATTTTAAATCGTTTTCGACATATTAGAGGAATTTCAGCACAAGAAAGAAGTCTCTCCAATTTTTCTCATTTCCGATGAGAACAAATCCTTCCTCATCATCGTAAATTCTCCGATGCTTCGTTCATTCTATCTTGACTTGCTAAATTGTGTAGAATGTTGTACTTATACATTGGGGAATTTAATTATTTATTTAATCAATGTACAGGCTGCATAAATGGATACCAATGCGAATTATCGAAGTTCTGCATTCCACGCTCTTTGCGCTGTGACGGTAAAGTTGACTGCGAGGATGGATCTAAGTCGGACGAAGAAAACTGTGGAGGTGGGGACTTCGTGCAATTACAAGATAAAGTTTATGTGTATAAAATAATTAAAACTTATTAAGAAAGATATAAATTGTTGAGATATGACGAAAATATTCGTGTGTTTGTGATCGATAATCTTATAACAAAAATTTAATCCTAAATTTCATATTCGAATGGTAGACTATATTATCATATGAGCTTCAACCAAACTCAATATAATTCTCCCATGCCATTGTTGACTCAGAGTGCAAAGGCCACCACCAGTGTGGTGATGGTTCTTGCGTGAGCATCTTCGATGTTTGCGACGGTGTGGAGAACTGCCGCGATGGCAGCGACGAACGCAACTGCTGTGAGAATTTAATACTGAAAGGGTTTTATATGTTACGTTGCAAATAATAGTTTTATAACATTTTGATTCTATTTTAAAACTTTGTGCCTGAAATTCCGTTCAATAATATACGGTATTATTTCGCGTTACGTTGAAGCTTGAAAGTTCCTCCCCTAACGAAATTTTGAGGATGGTTAACTTCTGAATTAAAGACGCTTTTAGCTCGCCCAGCGTTTAAATTAGCGGCTCTACGTCCGCTTTACGCCCCCTTCCCCCCAAGTTGAAGGGAAGTGAAAGGGCGTTTGAATTGCTGTTGGCTATATATGTATTATATATATAGAATAGAATAGAATAGAAGTGTCGGCGTTGAAGAAATAGGCCCATGGCCTGTTGCCGATTCTTGAACTTTTCGTGACTTGATTCACAAGGGATCCGGCCTTTGGAACCCGATCTTTCCATAACTGACGATTGATTGAGATAGCTGCTGGACTTATTGCCTGCTCCGTAATTTTCTAGGCATTTTAAGACTGAACATATGCTCCTGCATAGCTTCGTCTAGTCTGTTTTTGAAGATGTTCATACTCGGAGCTTCAACGATGCTTCAAATGCAGCCAGAGGTGGGCAGTAGCGCGCTACATGTAGCGGAAGCGGTAGCGGCTCTACATTTAAGGCAATGTAGCGGTAGCGGTAGCGCCCGCTACATATTCAAGTAGCGATACGAGGTTTTGCCGCTACAGCGCTACCGCTGCATTCATAGATAAAGCTATTATAGATTTTACTTAAGGGGACCGGCTACCCTCCAACAAAACTTTTTTTGTTTACAGACGGATCGTTTTGAAACTTGGTACACGTATGTAAAACAGAAATTTAAGACCTTCTTGTTCATGTAAATATAAAAAATGAAAGAAAACGTGGAATTAATAGAAAACGGCAAATAAGGGGTACTCTAAAAAAGTTTATAACTTTTGCAAATCACATGCTACAATGTCGAGACAAATATCATTCGATTTGTAACAACAATATCTAGCGACTGAAGAGCCCCGATTTTTGATTTTCCTCATCGTTTTTTTCGCGTTCTTCCCATTTTTTCACATTTTTACCCACCCTCCCCCCACCTTCCTCCCCCTCCCATATATAAGTCAAACCATGCACATTTAAAAAAAAAGGCTTCTAGAGTCGCTAGGTGTTGTTTTGGTATGGTATGTCTCTCATTGCCGTAGCTTGAAAACTGTTGGAGTTATAATTTTTTAAGATGGCGTTTTTTGGATTTTTAAATTGTTCAGGGGAGCCAAATAAAATAAAATTCATTGAAAACAGAATAATATGCCCAAAAAGTCTTAATATTGTAGCCCAAGCTTTCCCATTGCCAATTATTTGCATTCAAGGTACCAGCACGCGTCTTTAGACCTATTTATGTTCGTTTAACGTGGATAATAAGCTATAAATGGGACTTTTTATATATAAATATATATATAAAATATTCATTTTACATAACTTTACAACTGCATTACGCAAAAACTATTGCATGAACATCCATGGTAGTAGCTTTGTTAAACGCGTCTTGTTTGTAGCTTTCAAACGAGTGCACACTTTGCAATTAACCTAAATAATGACATATAAATACCATTTATTTGTAAATAATGATATAAAATGATCATTTTATAAAAGTTCAAGACTACTTTACACAAAAAAGTATTGCATGTACATCTATGGTAGGTAGTAGCTTTGTTGAACGCGTCTCGTTTGTAGCTTTCAAACGAGTGCAAACACTTTGTAATTAACGAGAGTAATTATCTATATATACAGATTTAATTCAAATAAATCTTTGTACATATTGTTAAAAAATGTTCATATATATTTTTTTAAAATTCTCTTACGCAAAAATTATAGCACGCACAGACATGCGGTAAACTGCGTTAGACGCGTTTTTTCAGCAGCTACAAAATGAGTCAAGAAAACGGTAAAGCCAAAATTTCCGAGTTTTAGGGTAGCCGGTCCCCTTAATAGTATTAAATATTATTTAAAAAACAGCATGATACATACATAACATAAATTACAGAATAAAACTGTACGAAAGATTTCGGTGTAATGTTGTCAACCTCAGCCTGTTACTAGTGTCAACATGTTAGTTGTTACTTGTTAAGTTGTTACCAGTTACCACTTACAGGTTTTTTTTTCATCTTTCAGTTTGCTTACAGTTATTTTTACACAGTTATTTTTATGTTTCACCTTCCTACATGGATGTCTACTTTAATCTCCCAATCTCAAAAATAATCCTCATATATATACAAAAAAGACTGATTTTTATATGTATGTGTGGATAATTTCTTAGATTGGTAAATTAAGGTTCACATCCATGTAGGGAAGGTAAAACATATAAATAACTGTAACTTTTTTTTACTGTATCTAACCCTGGGGTAACCCATAGTAGTTCGGTTAGGTTAATTGCAATAAATTTGCATTGATATATTTTAAAAATAGTTTATTATCATTAAATGTTAATGAGTCAATCCCAATAGCAGAACAATAAATATTTAGAGATTTCCAATAATTTTGGCCATTGTAGCGGCTAATGTAGCGCGCTACATTTTACTGTAGCGGTAGCGGTAGCGCCCGTTACAATCTAGTGGGTGTAGCGGTAGCGGTAGCGCCCGCTATATTTAGAGCATGTAGCGGTAGCCGTAGCGCCGCTACATTTCCAAGTAGCGCTGCCCAGCTCTGTATGCAGCCTAGACGGAAATATAGGAAAAAATGTATCACCGTGGCACCATGGAGAAAATGTCCTAGTAACACTAATTTGAACTAATCAAATTTGTATCGGAATAATATCAGTTATCACAACTTTCAACCCAAGTTTCCGCATTACCCACAACCAAACATTTTCTAACTTTCACAAGCACTCGACAATCAACATTCTCCAATATTCAAAACCGCTTAATATTCCCCCACATTATCCATATCTCAAACATTCTACCCCATTTTCCCGTACCAAACACTCTTACTGATTGCGAGTACAAAACATTTTCCACGTACGGCAGTGTGAAACATTCTCTCACCTTAACCAGTATTAAAACTTGTCTCATATTCGCCAGCACAAAACATTCACATATACTGTTAAGCATTCTCCCTCAATAATCAGTACTCAGAGATCTCCCAAAATATTTGCAAACAACAGCCTAGTGCATCTACAGGGCTCAACTTTAACCATTTCATGTTAGCGCAGATTCAACATAGTAGCTAATAATTTCATACCCGTGTTTTTAGGTATGAAATACCTTAAATATAAGGAATTGTTTGCGGTAAAGCAATTCAAGGCGAGACCCGAGTGCATTCCTACTTCCTCCTCCATGCACGCGCAACATCCAGTGTACTTTACTATGTAACGACTTGTCATTTCACGATAGTAAGTTCCGTTCAGCGAACTGTTTTGCACGGGTCCATAAAATTCTGCCAACAGCGGCTGTAAAGACGAATAGAACTATTAGCACCCGCCTGGATTACCTTTTAAATTGTAGTTGGAATCTGTTGCCTTTTTAACATTGCCATGTTCTATGCCAATTTCAGAAATTTATCCTCTAATAATTTGTAATTCTTCGAAAATAACCCAATTCTTAATGACATTAGATTTCATTCTGGCAATAAAAAACTTATTATACAATGGAAAAAAGCACCTATAGGACTAATTACGGGAAGCGAGCAGCATAGTTACTTACGACAGCGCTCTGCAACTTCATACATGTTTTACTTGCAGCGGCTCGGTGGTGAAGACATCTGGGTGCTAATCACGCAGTCGACTAATGCTTGACTTTTGGTTCCACAAATCGATTTAGCTACTATAGTGAATTAGAACGTGGGGCATATGAACACGCGCAGCTCAAATAACACGCTCATGTCAACATACAGTGGGGGGAAATAAATATTCGTACACTTGAAAAATCGTATTTTAATGTATGTAAGTACACAAACTTAACAGGAAAAGTGATTTAAATTATGTATAGAGACGCATAGTATTCAAAAATACCATCAAAAGAAATTATATCTCAATGCAACAAAAAACAATGCAACATGTTCACTTTTCGGGTGAAAAAAGTATTCGTACAAAACAATAAATTCGCATTATTTTAATTTAATACTTGGTTGCATACCCTTTATTCAGCTCAACAGATACCAGTCTATTTCTATACGTCTCGACCAATGATTTGCAGATGCTGACTGGTATTTTATACCATTCTTCTTGGCCTGTCTCTTATACACATCTAGATGTGTATAAGAGACAGCTCCCTGCAGCGTGTCCTGCTGGGAAGCGGGCGTGCGGCGTCGAAGATGGCGCGCCCTGCGTGCGTGCCTCGCAGTTCTGCAACCGCGGGCGCCACTGCCGCAACGGATACGACGAGTCCCGCGAGGCCTGTGGTGAGACATTACCGACTGTATGGTATGGATAGGGAACGACTGTACTAACGATAACCGATAACCTATTATACGCTTGAAATTATTCCGTTCCTTCCCTCGAGAAAGCTTCACCTCTGCAGTCTCGTCGTTTTTAACTCAGCTATTTGGTGTCTTTCTCACTTATTTGTTTCTAAAAAATAGTAATAAATGAATTTTGAATAAATAAATTTCTTAGTGAAGCAATGAATTTCGAAACTAGAAAAAACAATAAAAAATGTTAGCTCTATTGAGCTGAAAAAAATAATTACATTTTTTCTAACATTTAGTTATTGATTATTACTCGTGTCAGGGTGCAGAATCGGGTACTTCCAATGTTTATTATCGAAGATGTGCATCCGAGAAGAATTGCGGTGCGACGGACGGCAGCACTGCGATGACGACTCCGACGAGACTTATTGCGGTAAAATTTCAGTTCACATTGCTTACAAATAATGCCCACGATAATAATATGTTCTAATATGATAACTTAAATAATATAAAGGATTATATAAGTTTTCTATTCACTAAAATCCCTCAAGTTTTCGTTTCATTACAATACTGGTAAATATAATTAATTAGTGTCTACAATATGATAGTCAGTATAATTTCTTTGATACGTAATACAATTCTTTCCAAACAAGTTATCTTATTACTAAACGTGTATACTAGTCACACAATGTGGCTTTTTTAATTAGCACTTACGTTTTTCCCCTTATTCTATGGTTGGTTAATTACCTATATCAGATGGAACAAAGTGGACATATGGCAATAAAACCTGCCCAGAAGTTGAGACAACCTCGACGGCTCCGTTAGTGCCCGAAAATAATGGTAAATATCGGGCATAATCAACGTGTAACAATATTCCTTCGGGTTAATTAATGGTAAAATTGGCCAATGAGTAGTCATACTATTTAATCGTACAGATAATTTGTTGATTTATGATAATGTTGATCGTAAAGTCGGCAGCATTTTGCAATCAACCATTCAGCACTAATGATGAAGAACTAAGGCCGTCGATAGACATTTGACTTATAGTCAGGGAGAAAATCAAAAAAATTTGTTCGATATTACACTGATTATAACTTTACCTCTATGTCTAAACAACTTAAGTTAACTAGTTTTGATTTGGTATTCTGGCTAAGGTTGTGGTGTTCACCACGAGTGTGGTGATGGTTCCTGCGTGAGCCGCTACGAAGTTTGTGACGGCATCAAGAACTGTTGTGATGGCAGCGACGAACGCAACTGCTGTGCGTACCGAAGATTTACATTTGTAATGCAATGAACGGACGCAATTTTGTTCATTCAACCTCAGTGTTCATTCATTTTGTTCATGTTTTGTTTTATTCATTCAACCCCAGGTAATACGCTGTACGTATTACCGTCCCCAGTGACCGTATTATTATTGATTGGAAGCGTGATTGTGATATTCGATATCGACGAATCTCAAGCAAAATCATTCTTCTAAGGAATGGAAGTACAATTTTGTACATAGATATTTATGAGCCGACACAAATATCATGCTAATATTCCCTATATAATAGCTTGCAGAGCAGGCAAACGAGCCTGTGGTATTAATAAAAGCAGTTTGCCGGGGGAAACGGACTGTGTACGTACAATCCAGTTCTGCGATGGTAGCAGACACTGCCGAAACGGATACGACGAATCCATGGAGGCCTGCGGTGAGCCTTGCCTATATTTTGTTCATTAACTTCCAGCTCCAGGCACTGGAACGAACTCTATTTACTGATGGAAAATCAGTTGAAAATAAAATTGGCAACTTTCGGTGTCAGAGTTTGTGAACTATTTTTTTTTTCCTGCGGAACAATGCAGGTTTACGGTATTTTTCTGCTGGAAATGTTTGAGTGACCAGTCAAATTAATGCATAAAAATGTCTAAAGCGTCGTTATTTCCTATAGTTTACTATATATTCATTTAGGTTGCAAATGTGTAATCTTGCCCTAACATTTCAGATGTCGTTTGTTTGTGCAGCATATCAATGAGACCACTCCTCTAGTTCGTGCACTGTATCAATTTACAACTATTGGACGAGATGCACTGCATATTGGTTTCAATGGAAATCATCTATACAGCATAATTTTGAAGTGTTATTCTGTATTAAGTTATTTTCACAGTCCATGAACACTAAGCACCATTTCAGATTTTCTGCAATTACGTTCGCAGCCGTTTTAACGACACTGTAAACTGCTAAAAATTGTTTTCATTACAATTTATATTTTTTTAATTCGTTTTCCTTGCTGATCGTTTTTCACAATTTAACTTTTTTTCCAAAACCAGGTTGCGGCGAAGGTTTCTTCCAGTGCTCGCTGTCCAAGCGCTGTGTGGAAGTAGATTTCCTGTGTGACGGACGCGAAGATTGTGACGATGGTTCTGATGAAAAATCTTGCGGTATGATTCGCTCTAACTTATTTTCATATAATTTCTTGGTTAACTTAAAATTTCATAATTTCAAAGGTTCAAATAAAAAACCCGAGTGACTTCAAGAAGACTTGTGTGGTACAGGTACTCCAAATAAATGATCGAATGGACTAAAAGTTCAGGTAAAACAGTGAAGCTAAATGATGCCGCATCATTTTTTTCTGTGTTTGAATGAACTCCGCAGACGGTATGGAAGACTTTACTTTAACCTATCCCGTAACGACTAAATATTATGAACTTTATTTCCCTAACGTAGGCCCTAACTTCACATGACGACCATGCAATAGAAAATTTAACTTTCATTTCGATGGAATTGGAAACTCTAGCTCAACAATTTTCCATTATATTTGAGAATTTTGTATAATTATCTGACTGCATGTAATGAGGAGTCTTCGCATCTTTACAGCCTTAGAAAGTTAGAGAAGCAACAAACTTTTCTGCGCTGCAGTAGAAAAATCTATTCGTTTATTAATTAAATTTTCAGTGGAATCCATACCAGCTTTATCATTGCCATTTTGAGAATTGGAGTCATGAAGAAACATGAATTATTCAGAGTGCTCATTGATTTTTTCATCGTCATGAGGCCTACGGCTAAATTGCGCTGCTTAAAGATGGATGCGAAATCTATAAGTCTCTCAACATCGAGCAGATTTAATGTTACTCCTCAACGCTTAAATAATGTGAGCTCGTTCGTTCTTAATTCCATTCCATGTAATATGTCAGGAGTCCTGATGCTAGAACATTTTTTCATTGCCCAATCCGACCTCATCAATGGGCAATGGGCACTTCTACTGCTCACCGTACCACAACTCAGCCATTGACCAACAAAATAGAAATATCATGCTTTGTCATAGTGGCATATCAATTTCGTTGTTTTCTATTAATTTAAAGTATAGCGTGCAAGAGTTTTTACTTACATAAAATATTTGCCACTGGTCTTCTTGACATTATTGTCCGGAGGCACGTTTATGCGCCTCCAAACTTCGTACGTATATCTACCTGTTCCTGAGGACAAGGATTCGTTGACTAAGTGCATGAGGGATAAGTAAGACACCATCTGTCTAGAGAACTTATCTTGATATGGGGTGGTTATATGAGAGTTTTATTATTGGTATAAGGATAAGACGTCGTTCGTTAGGTAGGAGTAGCTCTAAGTAACGAATGTTATATTGCAGCGTAACTGGCAGTTACTGGGCCTTAATTACTAAGGCTTCCAGCCCTTTTATAGAATCACGGCTTCCGCCCACTACTGAGGTCTTGATCGCGTGATGTGTCACGTGATGTTGTCAATGCTGACTCAGGTCCAATACTATTTCATTAATCTCTATCACGTCTAGTGTATATTACGTGTCAATTACATATGATCTAATCTTAGAGACTTAGAATATAATTATAATGAATAGAATGAGACCCTGATTGACACCGAGCATTATTGACACCCTCAGGTTGCGGAATTCACCACGAGTGTGGCGATGGTTCTTGCGTGAGCCGCTACGAAGTCTGCGACGGCATCAAGAACTGTTGTGATGGCAGCGACGAACGCAACTGCTGTGCGTATACATTAGTGACAGCTATTAACTTGCATTAATTATCATCATTAACGCGCTAATGAGGAGACGAACATTACAACAAGCTGAACATAGTTTTATGGTCATGATGACGGTAAATCCATTAATTTTGTTATAAAAATTTTACTTAAATCATGATCCAGATGCTAAAAATGAATGTGTGAGACTAACAAAACTTATTTCGATTGGAACAAAGTATTTTCGTAGTCGGACTTGAATAGAATGGGACTAATGTTATTATTTTGCCTACGATTCGTCGCATCCAGCGTGCGGTGACAAAAAAAGAATGTGTGGCATCGAAGACTTTACAATATCCAAAGGAAAAAAATGTTTCCTGTTCTCCGAGTTCTGCGACGGCAATCGTAAATGCCCCAACGGCTACGATGAGTCTAGGAGAGCTTGTGGTGAGTAATATACACTTCGGCTTCAACAATTTGGGACATTTTTTGGCACGTGATATAAATGAAAAATCTATCTTGATCACATGTGGTGTGCAAGAGATTATGTAGCTTTATTTTCCGATTAGTGTTTTTCTCCAAGGATCACTAGCGTTCAATATCCGAAATTTGAATTAATTATTCATTGCGTGAATCATGATAAATATCCCTTCTTACTGTGCTATCAATAAATTATTGAACTTTAAAATAATTAATGTTTCAAAAAACGCAATACTCAACAGTTTATACCCAGTTTTTCAATAATAAAAATAAGACGCAGTTTCCGTACGAGCCTTCCTAGTTGTTTGATCTAACTGAATATTCATTCGGCCGGATAACCCTGAGTGACAAATTCGATTTCTGAGTCTGTATGTTACTTTATTACTGTCTGTCTAATACTGTACTTATAATGTATGATTTTGGAATCTTCCTCATTTTAATTTGTTGTAGTTCTTTAAGCTTTTTAAACATTGACAATAACTTATTTAAACTGTTGCGCAAAGATACAGTGGAGCCGCAAGTTGTCCTGCTTGGCCATACTTATTTTGATCCTGCTGTATAATAATTGATTTATGAGTAAAACTGAAATGAGCGTTATAAGCTTCATAACGATTCGTAGTAAATTCACCATGATTTTTTAATATTTTTTGCCTGTTTCCTAGGTTGCGGAGAAGGTTACTTTCATTGTTCAATGTCTAAGCTCTGCATAAACGAGACGCTGCGATGTAACGGATGCCGTGACTGCGGTGATGACGATGGTTCCGATGAAGAATATTGTAGTAAGTGTCAAGTTTTTATCAAACTAATAATTATTTGAAAACCCAGAAGTCAGATATTTATGATTGATTGCTATTCTTGGAATTATTTATTCGTTTCCCAACAAACGCCGGGGTTTGCGACCAACTTCGCTGGGCTTCTCTGTCGGTTTAACAGTTACATAGCTTACTCGGCTTCTTGATTAACGCCAGATTAGCCTAACATGTATTACCCAAAAATACAAATTATCACTATATTACGATTGAGAAAAAATGCACCGAAATATGATCGTCTCTTCACGGGTGCAATCGGAGAAACAGGGTCCAAAGCGAAATTATTTACCACACTAAAAGAGCGTACTTGTAAAGAAAAAATTATTTACCAGTACGCATGAGGCGCAGATGAAATAATTGGTTTGTTTAACATTTTACTTGATTCAAAGCCTAGGAAACTTTTGAACTGAGCCCCTCCTAATGAGCACAATATTCATTAAAGCCAACTTGTAAATATGCGGGGAAATAATGGGAACCAATTGAAACGCAATGATATTAATCTAAGCCAAGTAAACAAAATAAGTCGAGCTAATGTTACGTGAGTTTGTTAATTCAGATGAGCAAGTTCAGTTGTTGGTATTAGTAAAGCTGGATTATTTGCGCTCATGGAGAATATCCTTAAATATTATAACGTTACTCGTGTGAGAACCTGTGCGCCATTTATTATTTTTGACCATTTTCATTCGCTGTTTTATGCCCACAATAAATCCTAATTCATTTACTCGTGCATTTCCTAGTACTCTTTATTACTGTCCGGAGACCATCAAGTGAGAGTGGTCATCCATATCCAACAACAACTGAGTCTCAATATATTAGTTCGCTTCATTCAGTGACCTAATATTAACCTCATTTTACAAAATTTTTACTATATATATTCAATTATTATAACCTTATGGTATCTATGGTACATATGAAATCTTCTTGTGTAGTAAATTAGGTTCATTGTATTTACAACACATTTAACAATTATTTTTATTTTACTTATTCCATTCTTCATTCAATTTCCTGCCGCAATATCGTTGAACGCCGTGTATATTTTTACGTAATTAGAGGCTTAGCCACGTTAAATATCGTAAGGATATTTTCAAATCATTTAAATCTTAACAATGAAGATTCATAATAGAGCAAAGCCCACCTTCGTTTGACGGGATTACACAACTTTGCTGTGGCAGATTTTTCATCCGATGTTTCCTACAGATTTCAATTCACATCAGTTCATTTAAGCTATATATACTATATAGGCATCATACCACTGCACATTGCTGCATGTTTGCAATATGTGACATTGTACGATCTTGATTCAACATTATTAAATAAAAACATCGAATTCCTTCACCGTTTTGACAGGCCCAGGAAAAACGAAAATTCAAATTTTGTGCCCCGAAAACGAGGAGGATGTCGAAATGCTCTCCACCACCCCACCCATAGGTAAAGCATGGTTTTCACGTCAGATTTGGCGTTAGATTTGGTAGTGCGGTTAAAACAACTTCTTCATTAATCCATGTTCATATTATAGATCGATCGATTGAAGAATGAAATATGTGATATGAATGATAGCGACTGATAGATAGATCAAGCAGATAGATAATATCCAGTGATGAATAAATATTCGCAAGGAAATAAAGCCTACTTTCCTAGAAAGCATAACCTTCATCAGAATTTTTTTGTAATTAAGCATGCGGTGATCACCACACTTGCGGAGACGGTCGCTGCATCAGCAAGCACGAGGTATGCGACGGCAGCTCCGACTGTGAGGATGGGAGCGACGAAAGCAACTGCCGTGAGTACATCCCGTGAGGCATTCGCAATTCAAAATTTTGTTGAAATATTAGTCAACTGAGCTCTTGAAATGATCTGTTCCGGTATTAAACGTGCTAATTTAGGATCATCAGTAACTCTAAAGACCCAAACAATGAATGAAATCATTCGTAGAAACAAGGTAGTATTTGGCAGCAACTTTTGCAGCACAACGATTAAGTTCTTACTTGTCTGGGTAGCGGCAGTACTGCTGTCACGTAGCATGGCAGATTAGTTAAATTTATAGTAACAAAATATTTCTATCACTTCGTCTGCACAACTGTTCTGTTGTTGATTAACGTGATGTAGCGGTTCGCTGCTTGTATCAACTTTTAGTAATGATATTATCTTATGTGTGAGGGAGATGAGAAATGCAGTTGCCAGTGAGGGGAACGAAATTTTGAGTATTTTTTACAACCTGGAGTAATTTAAGACCGCTTTTTCATTAGCCTGTAAGATTTTTTCGTTTTTAAAATCCCTACAATTTTCCGGAGTAATGTTGTTGTGAGAGTAACCGTGTGAGTGGAAACGAGACACTGTTTTCTAAAAAAAATCATGCGTGAGTGCCCAGCTGTTCCAGATTATTAAGTCCAGATTCTGTTCCGCGTTTCCGTGACTCCCTGCAGCGTGTCCTGCTGGGAAGCGGGCGTGCGGCGTCGAAGATGGCGCGCCCTGCGTGCGTGCCTCGCAGTTCTGCGACGGGGGGCGCCAATACTATGCGTCTCTATACATAATTTAAATCACTTTTCCTGTTAAGTTTGTGTACTTACATACATTAAAATACGATTTTTCAAGTGTACGAATATCTATTTCCCCCCACTGTATATCCCAAGTTGAAAATTTCTATTACTGCAGAAATCTTTACTGAACTATGTTCTTGAATGCCGCAATAACGGTGTCGAGATTTCCAACGAACATCACATTAATAAGCACTGTATAATAAAACTAAGAAAGTTGTGCTTCTAAAAATATGAAAAATTAACATGATTATCCATTACAGCAAATTATTTTCGAGTCGCATACTTCACTTTCTACCGTGCGATTACCCAACTGAAATTAGAAGCGTGTGTCACTCCACATGTAAACAAGACTAGCGAAACTAAGCAACTGCCACCAGCAGTATCTCCATCTGCTCACGGTACCTGCGTGGTTATAATGCTCAATTTTACGTCACCACAGAAACTAACTATTTAATTGTTCTAATACGCCGCCGATTATTTTGCCGAATCTGTCATTCTACTTTAACGCTTTGCTTTACTTGATGACAATTTTCATCAAATCAAATATCAGTTTCTTGACTCGTGTGTTCTGGTCGGCGGTACAGCTTGCGCTGCCGGGATGCGGGCCTGCGGAGTCGAAGACGATCGCAACAACGGACCTTGTTTACCATTCGCTGAGTTCTGCAACGGTCGTTCACACTGTCTGAACGAGTTTGACGAGTCCAATAACATTTGCGGTAAACTTTTTCTGTTCACTATTGAACTATAGTGATGTTTGATAATTTCCTTATGAGGATTCCATGACCACTTATGTCCACTAATTAATCAAATTCATAGGAGTGACTTTTGGAATTATGAAATTCACTTTATCAAGCAAGACATTTCTTCTCCTGACTGATAATTTTGTTCTCAACGTTCGTAATGCAATAACGCATAACAAACCTTTTCTCAGGATGCAAGACTGGCGATTTCCAATGCAAGCTTTCGAAACTATGCATTCACCAGAGGATGCGTTGTGACGGCAATAACGATTGTCTGGACAATTCCGATGAAGAGGATTGTGGTACGAAATTTTCGAATACGCTATTGTGTGCCTCAGATATATTTAACTGCTTAATTAAGTCCAAAATTCATAATTTGATAGTAAGTCCATAATTTTAAAAAAAGAAAATGTATTGCTAAATTTCGGTTCATAACGCATGAGATTCGTTACCATATAATTACGTTCTGGTACGGATCAGTTCTATACGTATTAATAAGAAAGGTGGGCCTTTCATACGATGGAGCAGTTCTCATGAAACTTGACTGCCAAATTCAAGACGACACGAAGAAATTCATGTGAAACGTCCAGTCGATGGAGGAAGCAGGAGCATGTAACGCACAACGAAACATTTACCACAACTGAAAAAATTTATTGTTTTGAATTGATCGAAGCTGTTCCTTAATCAATTGTACACTGTATTTTTTGGCTTCCTCAAAACACGGCTTCATTTCTATTTATAATTGTGATAGCTAATTATTGTGCAAACGTCAGTAAATCTTTGGCATAACGTAAAACCTTAGAATTCACAATGTTGTTTACTTTCTGCAATTAAAATTAAATTTTTGAACAAGATGTGTTTTTTTGTCAAACTCACGTATTAATGTTGTGCTACTCGGCTTCTTATAACACTATTTGTACATAGAGCCGGGGCATATAAATACATTTCGTGGCCTAAGCACATGATGACTGAAGTTTTAAATTTTATTTTCAACACAGGCTGTGATGCTCACCACCAGTGCGGTGATGGTTCTTGCGTGAGCCGCCACCAAGTCTGTGATGGCGAAATGAACTGCGTTGATGGAAGCGACGAACAGAACTGCCGTGCGTACTCAAGTTATGCTATTGATGCATGTGTACTCTAGTGAACGGTCACAATTTTTGATCAATCATTCATTCATTCATCTCATGATCTTGTACAGGCATTAAATGTTTCATTCATCCTGTTACCTTGTGAAATAATTCATTCAGCTTGTGTTCTTGGACAATCATTCATTGATTTTGTAATCTTGTATGATCATTCATTCATCTTGTGTAATCAAATTCAACTGCTTTGACTAATTTCATTAATACTTTTCAATAATTCACAGTAATTGAGTCTATTTAACTGCATATATATTGTCTAAGCTCGATATTATATGAGACCTGTCAGTAAAGCTATATGTGAGCAATAGTTTAGTGCGGCCGAAAAATAATATTAAATAATTAGGAAATAAATTAAATGATGGTTGATCAAGATTATGTCAGAGTATATATTTCTGTTACGTGAAGTTGAAGTATAGCAAGAGCTTGGTTCAATAGAGTGACTGATTTTTCGACACTATTAATATATTGAAATAGTTATTTGCTCCGAAACTTTTTTCATCTGGTCCTTGCGTTTTAGCATCTTGTGTTCTAAGCGCCTAATCCCTGCCACTCCCTGCAGCGTGTCCTGCTGGGAAGCGGCCGTGCGGCGTCGAACATGGCGCGCCCTGCGTGCGTGCCTCGCAGTTCTGCGCCGGGGGGCGCCAATGCCGCAACGGATACGACGAGTCACCCGAAGCCTGCGGTGAGACATTATCGACTGTGCAAACAGATGCTAGTCAACTATTAGGCATTGTTAAATTCTTTTATTTTCTTTTTAGGGATGTACAATTGGAAGTTGCGTATTCTAGTTTCTTCCTTAGCAATAAAATCTCTTCCTATAATATTCTTAATCTTGGCCGTTTGATGTCTGTTGTGGCACAGGTTGCGGTGATGGCTTCCAGTGCCGCCTGACGCGGCAGTGCGTGGACAAGACTCTGCGCTGCGACGGCCAGCCTCACTGCGCCGACGGCTCC